CTAGTGCAGGATAGATGGTAGATAGTGGAATAAGTGGGGCTCCACACAGGTCCCAAAGTGACAGAATTGGGAACTAGGTTCCAAGTGTTAGATTCATGTACAGTATCAGGGTTAGAAGACACGTTCTTATCTTACTCTTCAAAAGGCCTAATTCCAATCCCAAAACTATTGAGATTCCCAGGGACTTCTCCAAACCTCATGAAGAGGGTACTATAACACATACTCATTAACCTAAAACAAGAAAGCCATTAAACTAAGATCTTGTTCCTCCAGGTCACTTGGCCTGCCTAGCTGTTTTCTCGAAACATTGTTTGGTTTTTTTTTTTTTTTAATAGATTTATTTATTTATTTATTTAATTTCTGCAAGCACTGGGTACAGTCAGAAACGCAGGAGGGTGAGAGAATTCACCAGAGCCAGAGTGGGGAGCAGAGCAGGCAGAAGAACCGAAGCACACTGCTGAGGGGAGCAGTGGGCGGCAGGAAAGGTCTGCGCGCCATGTGGGACCCTCCTCCGGTGGCTGGGGAGCAGCCAGGGATCAAACCGGTGCTGCAGAGGCTGCAGGCAGCCTCACAACCCAGCACTCAACCGCTGCACCACCAGAGAGGTCTCTCGAAACATTGTTTTAATAGCAAGATGTCAAAACTGCCCAACATCCAAGTGGTATTAATTCACTGTTAATGGAACTAGACAGTTTTACCATTTTAATCTGGACTCAAAAGCTACATTTTTTGGAAATGGGATTTTTGCATCACCACTTGTTCAGATATTTCTCAAGGCTTAAATTTTCCTCCCTTCTGGAAAAAGATCATATGAGCTTGCTGACAAACAATAAATCTCCTTTCCAAATTTCAATACACTTTGAGGCTAACTGGGTTACTCTTTGGGGATTCTAAATTGCAAGGAATCGCCAACTGTGAAGAATTCCTTCTAGTGCTATAGATCCTAGAAGTACTTCTGAAAGCTTCCAATTCCATGAGATATTCAGTTAGCCATGAAGGAAAGATGCAGAAAAGAATTTAACAGACTTAGTCTCCACATTAGGCTCCCACTTACTCTGATATCAGAATTGAATTTCAGACTTCAAATTGATGAACAGACTTCAAATGTGTTAGGCAGCTATAGACGAGTGAATCAGCCACTTAGAGAATCCAAGAAAGAGTTATGGAATCTTTATACCACAAAGGGAAAGTCACTCTTACAAAAGCATCACTTAGAGGGACTACACCTGAGGGGAGAGATCAAATATTGCACAAAAATGAACAATGATGCAAGAAAAAAAAAATTAAATTTTAAAAGGGCATCATTTAGATGTCTTCTGGCATATCAAGAAAAGGCTTAACTATTCCTCTTTTATCTTTTTTAAAGAGATAAGGGCAAACTCCAAGAATCTTAAGACTTGAAAGCATCCTGGGAAACTACCTAGTTCAACATCTTTGTTTTACAGATAGAAAAAAGCAAAGTCCAAAGAAGATGAATGTCTGCACCAAGGCCGGAAGTTGTGGCTTCAGGATTCTTGTCTTTCTCTATCCCACCAAGTTACACCTTCCTTTCGGTTAACAGCTTACCAAATCACTATCCAATCTCTCCATCTAAAAACCATTCTACCACCTCACACTTATGGAGAATTCCTATGTAATGCCTAATGAGAATCTCTCCAGGTATATTTTAAACATATCTCACGTTATTGGTTAGTAGGATGCAGCATTACTCTGTATATAGTACCACTTTCCAGATTTCCTTCCTCAAATTTACAAACATTGTCTATTACCAAGGATAACTTTTCTAGACTTCAGTTTTCCAATATGAATGAAGAGCTACATATCTAAAAACACTCCATTATTCCAAAAATAATTGCTGATCTCTTAATGTCCCTAAAAGTTGTGATGTTTACTACATGTATAACTATTACAGAATCTTAAAGAGAAAAAGATACCTTGCTTTTAAGTTAGAAGACCAAGTGTGCAAAATAAGGTGATTTTTTCTGTCAAAGGCTCTCAAGGCAATTTCCAATTAGAACCACTAATCTTTTTTTGCATATCCACCCTTTTTAGGACATGAACAATAATCATACTGTCCTCCTACAGATAGAGCAAATAAGTCATGCAATATCACAAAGCAAAGCAGAAAAGAACCCAGAAACCCAAGGTCAGTGGCATTCCTCAATACTACAAAGATACATTCTTGAATACTCAACTAACAGACCAAGCTCTTCATATGGAAATAAACTAAACTTTTCAGGACTATACTTTAATTGAATAAAAAAAGCTACGAAGAGAGTGGATTAAATACTTGACAATAATTTGTGGACCTCTCCTAAAACATTTTTTTTCTATCTTCCTTTTTGTGTTGACTTTTTAGAATACAAAGCAAGTAAGGCACTTAGTATTGTGAGTCTTTGAGCTAATAACTGTACTTCAGACTACCAGTAAGGTTTGAAAGTGCTATTTTAAGTAACCACTTCTTGTCAAGATTTGTATAAATAAATGCTCTAAATTTTCCAAAGTAACAAGAGTTCATTAGTGGTTTTGATGAAAAAAATGTAACAAGAACCACATAAGCTCTAAATTTGCTAGAGATCAATTATTTTGGATGGAGTCAATTCTCTTTGAATTCTAAAGATTGTAAAGATTCATACTGTCTTGAATACAGGTATTGATTAACATGAGGATTCACAGGCATGCATGCACACACATACCACAAAATAATAGCAGCAAATATATAGTCATTGCAATTTACTTAAAATTTTAGTGTTTGTATGGGTAAATACTATACATCCTCACCCAGAGATGTTTTATTAAAGGGAAGGAAATTTAATGAAGTCAAACTCATTTGAAGTTGTACTTTTATTTTACTATAAAAGCTTGTTTGTTTCATTTTTCTTTTGTGCCATCTCCCTATATTGGGGGGGGGGGATTCTCCCAACCTGCATCTATCCAAGTCCCAACTTTAAGACATTTCTAAAACTAAAAGACATTTCTCAAAGTTTATAACCTCCTCTACTATTCAAGCAATCTTAAACTTCTCCTACCAATACTGATGCCTCCTTTCACTAAAATCAACCACACATCATAAAAAACTACTCACTTTTTCTACTATCAGATGTATTCACTGCGCCTCAACTAGATCATATTTCCTTGAGCACAGAAACCCTACTCCATACTTACTTAGTCTGTCTGTCCCCTTTGTACCTAGATACTAGGTTATGCGTTCAAAAACAATTTCAGTAGTTTTCTGCATTTTGGGAGGGGGTATTACAAGACATTTTTTTAAACCCTACAATAAAATATCAATTTTTATATAGTTTACTAAAGTAAGATTTTTATTATCAGTTATTTTATTGGCTTCATTTACTCTATGTGCACATGCCATGAAGAAGAGAAACCAGGCCAGAATATCAGCTCTATCACTCTGTGACTCTGGGTAAATTAATTCCTCTCTCTTGGGCTTTTTCTATATCTGGATATTGTCATTTAAATAAAATTCACTTTCTATTCAATTCTGTTCACGATTCTTTAATCAGAATTAAGTCTAGAGATTATGAAGTGTTGTTTACAAAACTGAACATTATTTTTATTTTGTAATTTTTTTAACCTGAGATTAGCTTTTGGTGGAATGGACCCTAAAGTTGGAATCACAGGAGAGGATCACAGAAGATCAATATGATTTCCCACCTATACATAGTATCAGACACATCTGTAAACTTTCTGTTCAAACTGCTCCCTAAGTAGAAAAACCCAACAGCCATATAATGATCATCAATGTGTACTGCTTCAATATTAGGGAGGCACAGGAACCACAAGGACACCTACCAATCTTCTCTTAAAGCTTTAAGGGGAGGGGAAAAAAAGAAAAAGAAAAAAGCAGACCCATGAACCCAAAGATGATAGGACACTAGACTGACCACAAGACAATTCAGAGAAGTTGGAAACACAATCTTACAACAGAAGCAAGAATCTCAGGACCAAAACACCAAAAAAATTTAATGCCTAATCACAAAGGCAGTCAATATTTGTTATAAATCAAAATTAGTATTGACTTAATTTTAAATCCTCAGAACCTAGCACAGTGCCTGGCTCAAACCAAGGAACCAGTGTATTTAATGAATGGTTATCGATGAAAATTCAGAATTTAACTCCTTTAGAACATTAAAATAGAAGTGAGTGTTTTTAAATATTAGCTATACAAAACTTAAACTGAAGGAAAAAACCTAAGGTTACTTTCCAAGAGAATCATAAGCAAATGCCACCCCAACCCCATGTAAACCAGTGACATTTTCAGCAATTAATTCAAAGTGTACATTCTACCTAATTACCAATACATTCCTATCGTCAACAACTAGAATCACCACAAGTTGGCTGTACTTTATCTATACATCCCTTTCTTTCAGAATTACGGAAATCTTCCCTAGTTATATAATGGATGGTAAATTTTGTTTTCTGCAAATTTTAAACATTATAAACACTCTGTTAACATTAGAAACATTCTGAACTCTATATAAGGGATGACTGGCTCAGACCTCTACCTTTTGGAATGATTTCACCAGAAACCTAACAATTTTCTTTGACAATGGAGCTTTAAACAGCTTCTTAAAAAACGGCAATACTCTATAAATAAGTTATTGACATTTTCTGATTAGCAGCCAATCTGTGACTCCCTGCACTTCAAAAGAACCTAGCAATTGGAAAATGAGGCAAAAATAAGGACATTTGCTATGATGTATGTAAAAGTACTTTTTAAAAGTTTAACACCTCAACTTACAAATGAGTGGGATATCCAATATTGTTTGTTTTGTTTCAAAACATTATGCTACAGTTGACATATTTCTTCGAATAAGATTGTTTGGCAAACATGTGCAGATGCCCCATTCCTATCATGAGGATGGCAACAAGGAAAAGCAAGCACATACTTCTGGAGACTGGATTCAGACATATTTGATGAAAGACAGCTCCAACTTCCCCTTAAAAACAAACCCGCTCTTCTGATACACCAGTTTACTTACCTCTCCCATCGCTCTTCCCTCCAGAGCAAGTGCTTGAAAATCATGATTCAGTTCATCCATAGAACGTACCTGTTGTTCAGAATAGAGGAAAAAGTTTCAAGTAAGCATCTTAAACTTTACATATACATTAAACACAACTGAAAAGCTTTTGTAAGATCATTTTCATATATTGACAAAGGTCATAGAATAACCAAGTGATTGAGATTAAATATTCACTTACCTTAATATCAGGGTTCAGCAATGACCCCTGCTTTCTCCCCTCCCATTCCCTTTGGTTTTCAAAACACAAAAAACACATATTCCAAAAAGAAAAAGCAAATTCCATCACACAAGTTACATCAGCTATTTTTTTCATACACTTTAATTTATTAAGTGAAAACCAAATGACTATACAGCAATGACATAAAAAGATGACTGTATGACCTAAACCTGACTACAGCATCAGGGAGCATAATGTTTATTCCCAAACATATACATTAGGTGTAATTTAGGGGTCTCATTTGGTCCAACCCAAAGAATTTCTTTGGCAAACCTCTGGGAAAGGCACTACAGACTATGAAACACTCAACAGACTATGTAACACTCCATTATCAGAAGATCTCTGGGAGCTCCTGAACATTAAATCTTAAAACCAAGAGAAAAAAAAAAAAAAAAAAAAAGAAACAGCACATCTCAGAAGAAACCCTCTAAACTTGACCTATCATTAAAGGTACTACCCATAACATAACCATCTCTTTAAGCTTCAATAACATAACCATTTCTCTAAGCTTCAATTAGCTCATCTCTCAGGTCATTACAACAAGGTAATATTAAAATCAAAGATGAAGTGTGAAATCAATATTCTGAACAATCATAATTCAGAAACCCTTAGTTGTTCAATGTTCTACCGTTGGTCTCTGAGTTCAGTTTTGACCAAGCCATCTCTGCTTCCTGAAGGTAGAGTACATTCCTTGTTTATTAAAGAGAAAGGCCCTTCTGTCACCTGAGCAAGACTGTTGGGTAACTGAAGCAAGAGTCTGTCTATTATCCCCTGTCTCATCTGATCATCGCTACCTCTCACGGCGGGTAAATGCAAAGGTCAAGCCAAGCAGGGTAAAGCACAAACCAGAATACAGCTGGTAGGTCCACGTTAAGGATTTTATTAATGCGCTGCTTGTAAGTCACCAAATAGTCTTCCTTTGACTAAAGTGACATAAAAATACAATTACATTACTGTTTTAAATCACATTATTTCCAAAACACAGATACTGTTTCTATACTACAAACGACACACTGTATTAACAAGATTTAACAGTTTCGGGGTGCCTGTTAAAAACTGTAAATTCAGGCCTCCCTGGTGGCGCAAGGGGTTAAGACACAGCCTGTGAAGCTGTCCTAGCTGGCCAGGGATCAACCCACATGGCACAGGAGACCACTCCTGACGCACCTGCTGCTCCCCTCAGCCTGTTCTGTTCCCAGCTCTGTCTCTGGTGAATTCACTCCCCCCCACACACACACCCCCCTCTGGCCTGTACCCCTGCTCTGGTATGCATAAATAAATAAATCTTTAAAAATATATATTAAAAAAGCTGTAAATTCATAAAATTCTAAACGGAAATTCAGTCATATGAAAACAGAAACATAGAGACAAGATTTATTATTGTGGCAAAATAACTTCAAAGAAACTGAAGTTATAAGGGGTTTACATTATTTAGGTAAGCACACTGAATAAACATCTAAGTAACAGGCAGGAAAAATAAAGGTGAGAAGGGATGCAGACATACTGTTACCTTGAAATTATAAATGTTAGAGGAAATCATTTTGAACCTTCAGGCCAGAGTTATTAACATTTAGAAAAGCATGTAAATCAGATGCACAAAGACCAAACTCTATGAATGTAATTATGCATTTAAACTAGAGATAAGCATTTTGAAAATTCAAAAATCTAAAATAGTGTTAAGTAAGAATGTTGGAAATTCTGTAATATTTACATTTCCCAAGGAGAAAGAAGTAATAAGGGAATAAAGACATCATGCAATATATTAATTCTGTAATCATCACAACATCTCAGTAATTCCCCAATGTAAGAGATAAAAAAATAAAGTCTCTAGAACCACTGTTAAGCAGCTAACATAAATGGCAGTGCCAGTATCTAAATTCAGGTCACCCGAATTAAAGTGCAATGTCCTATCAACACCACATCACCTCCATGGCAGCCACAGGAAGTTCCCACTTACTCTGTGCCTCATCTATCACTATATTCGTCTCCTCATGCCACCCAAAAGATGAGGCTATACCTCTGAGTTTTCCTTCCACTTCCCAGAGCCCCAACTTTCTTTTGTAAAGTATCAACACCTGCCTTCTAACAAAAACCATTAACTTTGCAAATTAAGTTGGTGTTTTAAAGAAAGTTATGATATCAAAACAAATAAACCCAGAACTATACACATTTGGAAAATGAAAAGTTAAACAAAAGCATGACTTTTCAAATCTGTATTTGAAGAATCATATTCTAGGCAAGTTATTCAATCATGCTGGGTCTCTCCCATGTATACAAGGAGCCTAGGTGAACCCAAAAGGGAACAGTGTGATTTCCTTTGCATCCCCGCAATTTGTGAGCCAACGCTGAGAACCTTTGCGGACTGAACACTCCTTGCTTCTGAAAGCTACTATGAAATTGATCCTGGATATCTGACAAACTAAAGGATACTGCTTGCACAGTATAGGCTTAACTTTGTATCTATGAAAGAAGGTGTCCAGAAAGTGGACAAAACTGGACGTATCTATTCTCAGGACTGAGAGAAAAGTTCCATGAAATAACTGAACAACTCAACTTCTGAATTATGGGACTTCTTGAAACATTCCAATGGCAGGGGAGCAAAAATCTGCCATCCCAAAGCTAGTCTTCGGCAAGAGGTTTATTACCTATGGAAGAAGCGCTGCAGGCTGGGTGGAAGCTGCTTTTGATTTTTAGATCTAAGTTCTGCAGGTAAGGCCTAGGCAGTCCAGGGAGACCCAATCCCCTTATCTCTTTCCAGTGAAGAAAGCAGAAGTGCCTTTGTTTTCCCCAGTAAATGGCCTCAACTGACTTCCCTTCTCCCAACCTCCACTGTCCTAGCTAAGCTATTTAAAATGCTATCTAAAGTGCATGAATGAGTACTCAGTTATGCTGGGTCTCCATGTATACAGGAGGTATATAAGTTAGTAAATTTCTCTATAGCTTTTTTTCTCTTAAAAAAGTGAATACTATGCTAAAGAGCCTGCCCTATTCATCATCCCTTGGGAAGCTCTATTTACCTTACCCAACTTCTCATATAATTACTTATCAGATTCATCAAGGAATACTACACTTTCACTATTTCCTCATCTGTAAAACTAAGGTAACAAACCTATACGTTTGTTATAATGATTAAATGAGCCAATACTTCACATATTCAACATTCCTCCCAACTCAGTAGAGAGCCAAGTTTCTTTCAGCATTTCATAATCTATGTAAGTACCAAGATCATGCAAATGTGTGGCTTTCTGAAACACAGCATTTCAAAGTACATTCATTTACTCCCTTATTTCGCAGTTAAAATATCAATTCAGAAAAACTTTCTCGGTCATCCATTCAGAAAGTTCCAGGGGGAAAAAGTTGATCACTGATTCAAGTCCATGTTCTTTCAGTTCTCATTTAAAAAAAAACTTCAAGAGGACTCCCTGGTGGTGCAGTAAAGTCTCAGGGCTATCAAGCTATTCCCAGCCACTGTAGCATGATTTCCCATTCCTGGCCAGGGAGATAACCCAACATGACACAGCAGACCTCTCCTGTCTCGCCCGCTGTTCCCCTCAGCAGTGTCTCAGTAGATCCACCTGTTCACTCCCCATTCAGTCTCTGGTGAATCCTCTCACCCACGGCCCTCCACACCTCTGGCCTACACCCTAGTTCTTGTATGCATAAATCAATAAAAATAAATCTTAAAAAAAAAACTTCAGGGGCCTCCACGGTGGCGCAGTGGTTGAGCGCTGGGTTGCGAAGCTGCCCGCAGCCTCTACAGTGCTGGTTCGATTCCCGGCCACCAGGGGAGGGTCCCACATGGCAGGCAGGCCTCTCCTGCCACCCGCTGCTCCCCTCAGCAGTGTACTTCGTCGGTCTGCCTGTTCTGTTCTCCGCTCTGGCTCTGGTGAATTCTCTCACCCTCCTGCGCTTCTGACTGTACCCACTGCTTGTATAAATAAATAAATAAATCTTTAAAAAAAAAAACTTCAGTAAGGACACCTTCTAAAATTCCTTCATTCCTTGACTTCCACACCATTGTGACTTCTTGATTCTCCTCAACTCTACTTAGATTTTTGTCTCTTACTTTGCCAGCCAACACTGATGACTAAGAGAATTCAACCTAGGCACAAAGGAACTCAAATGTAAGAAAGTTAATGATCCAACTACTCTATGAATTATAATTTATTGGTTTCTCAAATATTTCCTGCATGAACATTAAACCTCAAAGAACATAATAAAGTAGATTCCATAGTAGATCAGTCCAGAATAAGACCTAAAAAAAGAAGCAAGCTTTGTATTTTCACTGGGTATTTTTTGTTTTTGTTGTTGTTGTTGTTTTTTGTTTGTTTGTTTGTTTGTTTTTAAAGAAGCAAGTGTTGATAGCCTGGTTCAGTTCTTGTCTTTGCTCTTGCTAGCACTGCTGTCCTTGGACTGTTGTCCCTTACCTGCTCAGTGTGTCTACAATGTCTTCACTTGAACCGGTTTATGAGTTCTGTTACCTGCACAGAACTAATAAACTCAGACAAGGGTATCAATGAATTGGTATTTTGTTAAAACCATAATGGATATTTGTATTTTAAAACACTAGCTCAGAGCTAGCTATATATGGCATGTGGATAAATAAGTCAACAAATTAACCACTTTTTGAATATTTTCTGTAACAAATATGTTTCTATACACCTGCCTAGAAAGAGTAATTTTCTGATATCTACTACCTCTGGCCACAACTACTCCAAAAGTATTTCCCTAAATGGCCAAACCCCTAATATTAGTGAGAAATAATAAACTGACCTAATGAAACTTCTCTCTTAGGTCAGATAGCTACAGG